GAGAGAGAAAGATCATTAGGAATTTAAGGTGAGAAATTGCGGTAGAGGAGAGTTTTGAGCAATATCTTAATGGATGGGGTGTGTCCAAGGCTAAATGACACCTTCATGATGCCCTGGGTTGAAAGCAGTTGTACATGTGGTGACCCAAGGAAAACAGTGCTGGGTAAAGGGGAAGTGTTTGGCAGTGTGTAGCTGCCCTAGCTCTGAACCCTGATTCTTGTCTCTGGATACCTGTATGTATTTCCTGCTTCCAATTTTGGATACCTCCCAGGATGACAGTTTCTGAACTTCCTTGTTGACAGGTTTCAAGGTCTTGAGAATGATTAGCAGCTTTTAATATGTACACCTCCCCCCCAGGTCTGTTCTTTTGATCATAGCTTGCACTCATTCTTTGCAGGAAATAGGTGAAATGTATTCCTTTGAGGTTTACTTTTGTTCAGTCCTAAGGAGGAGTTAGATGGTAAAAGGGTGGAGAAGACTTTTTTTCAGTAAAGAATTCAAAGACAATCCAATAATGACAACCCATAAGGGATTTGAAGTCTTTTTTAGATAAACACTGAGAAAACAAGATCTATAAATACATGACACTAAAGAATGCAAGGCATGAAACATGAATTGTGTTGGAGCCTTTGGTTTTACTATGTAATGCCTATTCTTTTTAAAAATTATGATTTAATTATTAACTAATTTTTGTCCTTTACAAAGGCACCACACTGAATGTTTTAGAGCACACAGTTCTGTTTTAGCCAAAAAAGAGCCCTAATATGCTACTCTCTAGAATATTAATTTTTCCAAATATATGACACATGGATCCTAAAAGCCAGCTGCATATTTATTTATCATGTTACATTTGCTGATGGAAGTTATATCTGGAATTAAAATATTTGACAAACTTATAAGGATCTCTTTTAAACCAAAATTTCACAGTGTACTTTCAGCATATAATGTCATGCTCACTATGTGTGGATATTTAGAAATGGAAAATGTCTTCCTAGGGAAAACACTGACACCTGGAAGGCTTCTGTCAATTTCCAACAAAAGCACTGCAAAAAAACTGCAGATCAGATGCTATGCAAATGTGTTTCTATTTGGCATTCACCATCAAGTACACTGTATCCTGTTATTTTGATACACATTGCAAAATAATTTTATTATCCATCTTAGGATATTTTCTTGAAAAGAAGAATTCATAGAGAAAGAAAATATCCTAAGATATCCTATTTCTCTGATAACTTTCTACAGTTATTGTTTACTGAAACAGTGGTTTAGTTTTGAGATGTTTTTCCCTCCAATTCATAATGCATGTTAACTATGCCTGACTGGTGCTTCTTGTCATTTTCAGCTTTATTTGCCTTCTTGCTTCCTCTCTCTTAGTTGTGGACAGAAGATAGTTTCCATGCTCATTTCACTCCTTGTCTGTATAACGTCTTACTCAAAAGAGCAGGTTGTGTTAAGACATGACACTTTTTAATTTTGTACTGTAAGCTTCTTGAGGTCAAAAGAGAATATCTCATTCCCAGTACCTGTTACATTCTGGAGACAACAGGAGAATGCTATGAATTGTGATTTAATTATTAACTAAATTTTGTTCTTTACAAAGGTACCACACTATTTTAAAGCACACTGTCCTTGTTTTAGCCATAGAAGAGCCCTAATATGCTACTCTCTAGAAGATTAATTTTTCAGATTACTGTCTCATCAATGGTGATCATATCCGAATGCTACATTTTATCTTATATATCTGTTTGTTTGGGTGCTTTCAAGAAGAGAAGAGGGACCAGCAGTTAGCATAATGGCTACGTTGCTGAACTCCCATGTGGTCGACTGCGGTTCGAGTCCTGGACCCAGTGGCTTAAACTCACGCTGGGCGCATGTGCGCGCGTGTCCAAGATCCCAAGAGGAGAATGAAGGAGAAGTGATTGTGGCATGGCTATCATCCCTGGGGGGTGGGGGGTGATTTATTGCTTTCTATCTGTCTGTCTGTCTCTGTCTTTCTGGTGAGCATAGGTGCCTTATAGCAAAAACCTCTCCAAAAAAAAAAAAAAAAAAGAGTTGAGTTCAGACAGACCACAGGAACCACCTGACTAGTACCTTTAGTCCTTTAGTTCTCTAATCCCAAGGGAGGTAGCGGTATAAATTGCTAACAGATCATAATGTTCTAAGAAGGAATTGGGACAGGTGCAAACTTAAGGGGCATAAGTGTAGATTCTAAAGAGTACTTATATTTTATAGAGTTTCCTCATTCATGTTTTTGAGACAGTATGATATAAATAAGTGCATTAATGTCTTCATTTGCAGCTATCACAATAAATTTGAAGCATTCTCACTATCATTTTGTAAGGCAGATAGGAGTTATTGAAAGGTAGTTATTGTTTTAATATTATGGGAACTATGTCAGTGGGTGAGGTTGTCAACTACCACACACTTGAATTCACAGATGAATGAGAAAATTATACCAATGAATTATTTAGTGATGATCCTTTACAAATTATACTTCAAATAGTCAAATGTGGTGGCAAATAGCAGAAATGATTGCAAAAAAAAGAAAAGAAAAGAAAAACAAACTAAGAAAAATTTGATAATATAGAAGAAGTTTGAAATAAAGAAAGCACTGTAACTTTTAGTTTTGCGATATCATCAGAATTGCAAAGGTCTTGTCAACTTTTTACATGCATCACATAAATCGTCCTAATTTCTGGGCAATAGATTTTTTTTTGGGTCTGCACTACAAGTAAAATTAATAGCCATATAACAGAGCCTCTAGTCATTTTCGTTGAGGTTAGGAAGATAAAACACATGACCCAAGTTTGGACATAACTCGTGGCTAATTTTTAAAAATACAAAAAGGAGACTTTGAGAAAATGAATTATAGAAGCAAGGCCTTTATATAAAGGTAAGCCAAATTTGGTGCAAAGAAAAGGAAAATTTTAAAGACACATGACAAGAGGGCATAAGAAAGTATCCCAAGATTTCAGAAAAAATGATTATTTTACTTTGTTTTTAACTTAGCAAAAAATTTTTTTCCAATTGTGTGGGAGTAGTAAGTTAATTTTTAGTATCTCTTTTCTAATGATTGTTGGTGATTTTTAGATAATTATTACATGAAGAAATAGATATATAAAGTTCAATGTGAATTTTGACAAAAGTTATATCTATATTCTCAAGAAATTATATTAACATTATGTGGCAAAACAGAGTAAGTATTTATAAAATGAGTTTCATGTCATTCTACTAGTGCTTAATTGTTTTTTACCTGTTCTTATAAAACATGCAACAAAAAATGTCAATAGTACTATTTTTTGCGCCTCTGTTGTTTACTAATTATGGACTAGTAGTTCAGTTAATTGTATATCTTATACCAACTTTCCACTTACTTTGAACACCAGGCGGTTTGAGCCATATCCTTGGAGATTCTGATTTAGTCAGACAGAGCTTGGTCTGTAAAATCTGTAGTCTGATAAGCTCTTCAGGTGTTTGTGACAGCCAGCCAGCATTCTGAATCCTTAAGTCTTTCTCTTTCAATGTATCCGTCAACCTCTTCCTGTACCTCAGGCAGGAAACATAGTAATCTTTCTTTTGAGGTTAATTAATCTTTATGATGATATAATTAATATATTATTTCTTCTACTTTACATTGTCATTTTTAGGTAGATTCCAATGTATTAGCAATGACCATCACTTCTCTTTTGAGATCTCATCATTCCTAGAATTATTCATGAATCCAAGTGGTGTAACTTACTCACTGCAGAAGGTTCAAAGTTGACCATGTGGCCTTGTGGTGAAGGGGGCTGGGATCCAGCCCCCTTGACTGACCGTGTTTGATTCTAAGTCCTGGCAACTTGAAAAGCATACCAGGTATATGTGTATGTGTGTCCCAAATCTCGAAAGGGTGGAGAAATAAATGAGGGATAGTGATGAGGCCACATCCCATTGGGTGCTCTCACCCCCTCTCTGTCTCTCTCTGGCAAGCACATATGCCCTCTGGCAATTAAGCAAAAAACAAATTCGAAATCTTCAGTCCACTTCCCAAGGCTAGTTGGGGAGAATAAGGGAGAGTGTAATTTACTCACTACTACTCGTGCACCCAACAGGCACTCAATAATAGATGGATGTCTGTAGTTGTACCCTTATGGGGGCCAATCTCCACACTTAGACTTTCTAGGTAGAGCTCGCTTCATTTCACATGTGTTTGCCAAAGCAACAATGATTATGAGGGCTTCTAGACTGATTGTTGTGTGAATGAATGCCAGAATTAATCCTCCCTCAAAAGTCTAAAGCTTTACAATAAGCCTATCACTTTGGCCTAGACTACCCCTCTTTATGGTGAATCAGTGTCCTCACTAACTAGCACAGTTTTTAAACTTTAGCTTACTATTTAGACTACCTGGAAGACTTATTAGACACAGGTTGCTGGGCCCCAGCCTCTGAGTTTTGTACTCACTGTGGACTGAATTTATGGCCCTGAAATCCATAATTTGAAGTCTTAAACTGTGCCCCCTTAGAGTGTGACTATATTTGCAGATAGGGCTTTTAAAAGAAAAAGTAAGGTTATGTGAGGTCACAAAAAGATGGACTACCCTACCCCCCACCCCATCTAACATAATTGATATCCTTATAAAAAGAAGAGTCACCAGGGATATGTGTACATGGAGGCAAGGCCATATGAGGACACAGTGGAGTGGTGGCTGTCTGCAAGGCAAGGAGAGAGGGCTCAAGAGACACCAAACCTGTAACACCTTGATCTTGGACCCCTCGCCTCCATAACTGCAAGAACATGTTTCTGTGGCATGTTGTTATGGCAGCCTTCATAGACTGAGGCAGTAGGTTTGGGGTGAGCTCAAGACTTTGCCTTTCTAACAAGTTCCCAGATGCTGATTTTCCTAGTCTGGGGACCACACCTTGTGAGCTCCTTATCACATGAAATGTTCCTCAAGTCCACCTTATTTCACCTGAAACGCTGGAGGATCAGGTTAGGATCTTGATTACATATAGGAATCCCGATGCTGAGCCACCTGAGATCAATAGACTCAGTTAAGCCCATGTCCATGACAGTGGACATCTACTTGTCTTGCTTTGATCACCAAGAGGTACAGTTAAGTAACTGCTTATTGTTTCTATATACATGGAGAAGTTCTGGAAGTGGATTTTCCTATTTTTTTCCTTTAATGTTATATCTTACTGGAAGTTAAGTTTATATTAAAATGTAGGATGACAGAATTTGGGTGCAAAGAATAAAAAAAAAAAAAAGAAAAAACAACTTGGTAATCTGTCAGGACTAGCAGATGGTATAATGGTTTTGTCTCTGAACTCCCGCATGGGTAACTGCTGTTTGTGTCCCAGACCCAGTGGCTTGAAATTCATGCCAGGTGCATGTGCATGTGTGCCCAAGATCCTGGGATGAGAATGGAGGAGAAGGGATTGTGGTGTGGCCATCCCTTGGGAGGTGATTTCTTGCTTTCTGTTTCTCTGTCTCTCACTCTCTGTCTCTCCAGTCAGTGCACATTCCATATAGCAAAAATTTCTCTCTTAAAAACAAACAAGCAAAACTTGGTAATTTATTAGTCAGTACCATTCAGTGTATTCAACAAGTTGAATTGAATTGGAAGCAGATACTAGTAGCTGAAGCCAGGTATTACCTCTTCCACTTTTTTTTTTTTTTTTTTTTTTTGCTATAGGGCACGTGCACTCGCCAGAGAGACAGAGAGAGACAGAAAGACAGAAGGCAAGAAATCACCCCCCCCCCCGGGGGGATGGCCACGCTGCAATCCCTTCTCCTCCATTCTCTTGGAAACTTAAGCATGCATGCACACACGCACAGTGTGAGCTTAAGCCACCGAGTCCAGGACTTGAACCACGGTTGACTACATGGGAGTTCAGCAACATAGCCATTACGCTAACTGCTGATCCCACATTTGTGTTTTAAAGTAAACTCCTATGTGTTAAACAGAGCAAACTCTGAATCATAAAAATCACACGATGTCTTTATTAAAAACAAAACAAACAATCAACAACCAAAAAACAACAGAGTCCTGATATACATGTCTGAAGATTTGAATTAGTAGGCTGGAGAACTCAGGAATTTTTAGGTTTTTTTTTTTTTTTTTTTTTTTGGGAGTTTTTCGTTTTTTTTGTTTTTTTGGAGAGATTTTCGCTATAGGATATAGGATGCTTGCGCTCGCCAGACAGACAGAGAGAGACCGAGAGACAGAAAGCGAGAAATCACCCCCCTGGGGAGATGGCCACGTCGCAATCCCTTCTCCTCCATTCTCCTCTGGGGATCTTGGGCACGCATGCACATGCACCTAGCATGAGTTTTTAAGCCACTGGGTCCGGGACGCGAACCGTGGTTGACTACTTGGGAGTCCAGCGACATAGCCATTATGCTAACTGCTGGTCCCAGGAATTTTTAATTTTAATAAGAGTGCTTAGATATTCTAATACTGGCAGTCTGAATACTGCTACTTGAGAAGCATTGACCTTGAGGAATGAGTAATGTGGAATATTAAAGATGTATATCTGGGCAAACAGGGAGAGATTTGAGAAGTAGAATGGAGATGACTGACCTTGGTTTGTCTTTAAAAGCTATATTAAACTAACTGATATGAGTGTAGTTCTCATCTTGAGTCATACTGCTTTTTTTTTTTTTTAAGTTTCTGAATAGCTCCCCTGCTCCCCTTCTTACTTCTGAATTTCTCTGCTTCTCTCCCAACTCTGAATTGAGAATAATAAAGAAACTTATTACTTAAAGGGAATACAAAAGAAAAGAATGAATTACTGTTTTGGCCTAGTGCAAGGGTACCTTATAGGGTAGGAAGAAGAACATGAGAGCTATATTCCTAAAGATCTGATTCAGTAGACTAGACAAGAGTCTGAGCAATTGGGAGTCTTGCTAGAGTTGAGTCTTGACTGGGGCAACCTTGAAAGACAAGGTTTCTATTGGTATAAAGATAGCATTAGATGAAATGGTCTTTAAGGTTCCATTCAGTTACAGTATTTTATAATGTATCCACTAGACACTAAAGGAAAATTGAGGAGGATGATGGAGAATACCTAGTAGTTTCAGTTATTTTCAATTTATCAGTGACTGACCAACGATTCTTAGTAATAATGATAGTAAATATTGGATCTTCAAAGGGGTATACAGTAAATGCTACTTCCCTTCTACATTAGTCTTGTTGAAAAATAAGTGAGAGAAATAGGGGGGCAAATATCACCTGTTTTTAATTTAATTTAATTTAATTTAACTAAAAATTTTTATTTTGCCAGAGGTCGCATGCACTTACCATAGAGAGACAAAAAGAAACAAATAGAGGAAGAGGGAGAAAGTACCTCCCAAATGGGGTGTGGTCACAACACAATCTTTTCTCCTCCGTTTTTCTACCCTGTTGGCCTTTTGGGCATGCACACACACGTGCTTGGTTTGTTTTTAAAGCTGCCGGGGCAAGTTTTGAACTTCACAGTTGGCTGTGTGGTATCTGGCTCACTTAGCCTCTAGACCACAGAGCCGAACCATCACCTGACAGAGGCATATCAGAAGATGTAGCTCTTTCTTACTCCCAATTATGACAATGATGAAATGGAGAAGACAGGCCTCTCTAGGCAAGATTTAGGGCATAGAGGAGTAGAATTTATCTTTGTTCTCTATGATTCTGTGGACCAGCTTGCTCCTTGCACTTGAGAGTGAATGATAATTCTTTCTGAATTTACCAGAGACTTCTCTAGTGTTTCCCTAGAGGTGGCGTAGAGCAAGCAGAACATGGAGAGAGGTCAGTACAAGGGTCTCTGGACCTGAACAAAAATTCAGTAGTGAGGAGATAAACTTCATCCTCCACTTCTGGCAGCATCTCATAAAGATGAAGTGTGCAAAGGTGAACCACTTACTCAGGGTCACACAACTGGGAAGCAGAACTGGATTCAGGACTGGATTCTGGTTCTGAGAGCCTCCAGAAAAATCACCCTCAATGCTCTGCAAAGCCGTTGCTACAGAGATGCAACCTGGCACTGTGAGAGCCCAAATCCTCATTCTGATACAGAGGGTAGCTAAAAGGCTAAAAGCCTGGACTTCAACTGTGATACCATCTCAGCAGCTGATTCCTTTGGGTATGTGAAATGTCTTCAGTAAGTTCATGGAAAACCCATATTATGAAAAATATGCATGGATTTCAAATTTCTTTTTTGCACCCAAACTTTCACTTTAATTCCATTTTCCTATGAACTTTCTGAAGTGCATTTATGCATTTACTTAATTTAAAGGAGATAAATATAATCCCTGCCTTTCTGATGCCTGACCCTATCCCCTCCTGACAGGCCCTCACATACTTCAGAACTACATGGTATAGTCCTGTCCTCAAAGTGCTATATTGGGGGGCAGCAAATGGTGTAGAGGTTAAGGCACTGGACTCCCATGTGGACAACTGTGGTTCGAGTCCCAGATCTGGCAGCTTGAAACTGTTAAAAACCAATTTAGATGTACCAAAAAATTTAATAGAGTTTATTTAAACAAAGGGCAGGTGATTTAAATCAGGCAGCCTTTTGGTAGATGACTTTCAAGAGACTACAGCTAACCACATGGTTTTCCGGGAATATATGTGGGTGGAACAGGAAAGTGACATGTACAGTAAAAGAGGGAAAGTGTCATACAGAAATGTAAGTGAGGGAGTGAGGCAGAGAGGTCACTGGTTACAGGTGGAAGGTAGGCTGCACAAACTGTCTGAAAGGTGGTTTTCCTGTTACTGACTGAAATGGGACTAGTGTGATTGGCTATAACTTAGTAACCAGCTCAAAAATATATTAAAAAAAAAAACACAGTCTAACAGTTGTGATTTCTGCTTATCCAGAGAGATCCAAATGTGGGAGTAAATCAGCCATTTTAGGCAAGAATAGTTTCGTTCAACACAACTCATGCTGGGCACATGTGTGTGCATGCCCAAAATCTCAAAAAGGGAATGGAAAAGGAATTGTGATGTGACCACCCACAACCCCGAGTGTGATTTCTCACTTTCTCTCTTGCCATCTCTCTTTCCTAGTGAGTGCATATCCCTACAGCAAAAATAACTCAAAGTGCTATAATGGTCTTTGGTTTCTCACAATATAAGGCTGGTATATTACTTTGTCAAAATTCAGCCTGACTGGGCCGAACAAACACAGAAGCATGTCATTTTACAGTATTTCCACTTGTTTTTAGATAAAATAAATTCTATATTCTTTTGAGTTTGGCAAGCTATTTCTCTTTAAATCTCATCAGAACATTTGAGTATAAAAATTAGGTGGAAAAAGAAGCTTATGAAAGTAAAATTCACATTCAATTCATATTCATGCCCACATACACCATGCTAGTAACAACAGATGCCTTTGCTTGCAGTAACAGATTTATCCTAAATCTGGATTCAATGAAGTCCTTTTATTTCCTTAAATAAGCAATCTTTGACCATATTTGGTGGAATATTTCTCTCTTGTGAGTTTATTAAAAATCAGCTTGTATTTTAATTATGTGAAATGACAGAAATTGAATTCTTTCTCATTATTTTTCTTTAGACATTATTTCTATATAATGTCCTCCAGTATCCAGCACAAGACTGGCATATACATGCATTCACTTGGTTATTATTTCATTAATCCTGACTTGGTTCTTTGAAAAACGTAATGTTTTATCATTTGGGTCAGCATACATTTAGAGAATTTCAGATTTTAAAACATTCAGAGATAATTACAGCAAATATTACTAGTAGGCTAATTAGTTCGCGGATCATATGGAAGGTAATGAGAGAAGATTTTCACATTTTCCCTGACTCTATACCTATCAATATATGGTGCTAGGCAATTTTCATATATTTGAAATGCCATAAGAGTTGGGAAAATGAAGAAAATTGTGTTATGATATAGACAACACTGGATTTTCAGAATAGTCATGCATTTTACATCTCCTTCTTAAATAAACTTTGGGTATAATTTTCCAGAGAAATGTCAGAAATAATCAACATTATCCTGTCTAATCGAAATGCTATGAGAATTTGCTTCCACATTAAATCACATAGTTTAAAGGACGGTATTTATATAGAGTTTTAGAAAGTACTGGATTATTGGATTATTGGCTATGGTGTTTTCCCCCAGGAATTGCTAAACCTTCTCTCTTTCTGGGGAAATCAGTTTAAGATTCCTTTTTTTCGGTTCCAAAACTTTACTCAATTGTTGGACATTTCTACATCATTTTCCTCAGTGATGTACCATTTTTCACATACCACTTCAACTCTTATTTTGAAGAATTTTACTTTACATAAAGTGAATTTTCTGTTTAACCATGATTGCTTGTATTCTAACGTACTTTCCTGGCTGTTGGAAGTTAGCTGTTGAAGAAATTGATGCATTTTGATTAAATCAATGAATGCATGAAATACAGTAATTTGTTCACTCATTTGACAGATAGCTACTCAGCACTTGCTATGTGTAGACATTGTAGCTGCCACAAGAACTACAATGATGTGCTCATTGATCTCTAGGACGTAGAACAGCATGCCTGGAATTGTATCCTGGTTGGATCATCAGTACTAGCATGATGCTGGGCACATGGCCTGTACTTGTGAACTGCCTCTTAAACAAATGAATACCTTCAAGTTAAATGATTATTTAGTGCTCCATAAAACTTTATGTTTTAATAAGAGAGAAATGAGAGAGAGAGAGAGAGAGAAGGAGAAATGGAGAGACATAGATTTTTTTTTTTTGACAGTAGTGTTATTATGTTGTAATCTTCCTGTGCATTTAGCTAGGATTACAAGTTCACTCAGCTGCATCCAACATGCTGAAGTTGGCCTGGGAACCAAAGTTGTGCCTCCCACATGGCCCTCAATCTCCTAAACTGTGATGCTACCTGTGTGCCACCACAGACAGATCATGGCAAAACTTTTGAATGAAAAAAATTTTGTTTTTTTGTTCACTTTTTGTATTGTTTTCCCTATAAGTTTAAAAAAAATGCTACATGCAGCTGTTCATTTAAATTGTTTATAAGTAGAAGATACTGAATATAATGAGTCTGTACTGTATAACTTTTACAGTATTTAAAGACATTAAAAATATAATGGCAATATTATACATCATAATAGATTGTTTCTGGAAGCAAGTCAAATTTCTCATTAAACTTTTTTTTTTTTTTTTTTTTTTTCTATAGAGGGGGCGCGCTC